CAGCTGAGCCTATGCTGCTCTGGACGGTGATTCATCCCTGTGAGGCAGGTGTCTTATCTAACTACAGTGTCACCTGTGGCTCCCACTTGAATTCCTGTGTACTTGTGGTCCCCTGTATCTGAAACGCTTTCCCCCATATCCACTCTGTCACTGAATTCAGGCCTCTGCTCAGTGTCCTCTCGTCAGAGAAGCTTTCCCTGAGCACCCTCCCCACCACACATACTGTTTTTCTTCTTAGCACTCATCACCACCAGATATGTTATTTATTCATTTGCTCATTACCTGTCCCCACTCTTGACCCTGCCCCCCACTAGAATATAATGAGCCCCATGAGAGCAGGGTCTTAGTTTTGTTCACTCTTATATCCCCAGCACCTAATGTTCAGCACATGGTCAATACTCAGTAAATATTTGTCAGATGAACAAAAGAATGTCCTCAGCTGATATCTGGAGGTCCCCCATATGTCTTTATACACCCAGTGCCTGGCCTTTAGTTGGTCCTCAGGAAGTAAGATAATCATGCTGAGGACACACAGAAATCTGGTCTCTCTGTAGATGCTCCCCTTACCAGAGGGAGGGGTCTTGCTATGGATGCTGACCCAGTGTTCTCATGTTAGTACACAGGATGCCACAAGGCAAACACAACTCAGCCACAGTGGAAGTGCCTAGATAAACTGAGATCAACACTGAACTTATCCTATGCAGAGTAGGGCCAATGACATGGCATGATTAGAGGAGCCTATGGAAAGAATACCAAGCTAGAACTCTCTCTAATAAACCTATTCCAGTATCTAAAATTTCTGCCATCAGAGCTCAGTAACTTCAGATGCATCCAAATACACATCTCAGAGTCAGAGTATATCTCAGGAGAGTGGCTGATGTAGCTTGGCACTGTCACTCAAGGCCTGCTCCACCAGGGACAGCCTGAGCCCTGGAACCCACGGCTAGAGGGCACACAGACCAGTCAGCCCTGTGTACTGCTCCAGTAAGGGCAGCCAGGGAGTGCAGGGCACAGGGTCCACAGGGAGGACCAGTCCAAGCTAGGCAAAGTTGAAGAAAGCGTCAGCCTTGGGACAGCCACTCCAACAGGCTCGAGAGCTGAGGCATCCAATACTAACGCAGGACACTGACCTGTGTTCCCAGAGCTGTCTGAGTTTCACTCTTGCCAATGGCTAAGAACATATAAAGCAGGAATCAAACCAAGGGAGGAAAGAGAAACAAACAAAAAAACTCCTAAGCCCAAAGGAAGACTGGGGTACAAGGCCACGTTACCAGGCAGATTGCTAAATGAGAATCATGGCACAGACCCAGTAGCACAGCCAGGGCCAACAAGGTGGAACAGGGAGTCCTATGGCCCAGGACTCATTCCCACTATGCCTCAGGCTAAGTCCCACCTCTTTCCAGATTCAGATTAGCTCACACACTGGACCTAACTCATGGGTGCAGACTGTGCCCCCAAATACCGGGAAACCAGGCAGGCAGGCGGGCTGCCTTCACCCAGATACAGCACTGTCCTCATCTCCTAATGACCTGACAGAAGCCCAGAGAAGATTTCCAGCTGATCTAATGTCTAGTATGTGACCTTGGCCAGAAAGAGACATACTGTGAAGTGTTCCTTCCACGGTGCCAAAGTGGATTAAGTCATTTTATCGCCAGAATCACTCTTTTCAAAGGTAAGAGTTCTTACAGGGTGAGAAGAACAAAAAACCAATTATCCATTAATATCTTATACTTTTTTTTTTTTTCAACACAAATTGGGAGACCAGTCACCTAGGCAGATTCTGAGAGAATCAAAAGGTTTAGGGTGTTTTTGTATTTTGGGATTTGACAGGGGTGGAGTTTAGAAGAGTAGAGAAGAACAAGATACAACTCGATTCTTCTCTAAAAAATTACATCCAGCACATAAATAAAAAGCAACTAACTAGGATCAATCACCAAAATAAAGTCTCTGAGGCAGCTCAAAATATACAAGTGAAACAAAATATTAAACAAATAGAAGGGAAACCAAGAATCTCTGAGAAGACCAAAACAAGAAAACTTTAATAAAATAAAATCAGTTCATTCTTGGAGAAGGATCATTCTCTTGCTAAAGAGAAGGCCATTCCTTCCCATTTGTTCTCAAGGCCTCCCAAGAGAAGACTACCAAATCCACACAAATTAATTAATAAGTATGACCAAAATAAGTAAAAGGTAAGCAGAGGTTAATGTATACACGTACATATATAAGCACCATATTTTCTTACAGTACAGTTCCTCAAAACTCAAAGATGCCTTTACAAAAATTTAAGTGGACTATTTTAAAGCTTACTAAAATTACAACGTCAGGGTCCTAGGAAATAGGCTCTGGATTTATTTGCTTTTATACAGGGACATTAAATTGGAAGGCATTGAAAGGCATTTCAACTCTGATACTGTTCTCAGGATTAAAAACAAAAACACCTAGATTTCCAATTCATTAAATCCCAATTTAATTTTAGAGTTAAAATATTGTCATCAAATTAATTACTTTAAGCCTTTAAAAATATTTTAAGGTCTGTAACAAGAGAAGGCTATTAACTATCAACTTGAAAATACTTAATTTCTTCCATCCTTTCCCTTCTGCACACATCAAAAACATTTATGTATATAAACCACTAGAACTTACGGTACACTGGATTTTCAAAAACATTTGGAGTTTAAGAGTGATTCTTATGAGACAGAAAACTATGTAGTGAAGAAGTGAATAAACCCCAAATTCAGAGTTTATCCATGAGTGGGGCTGGGAATGCCATAGGGGGGGGGGAACGCCCAGATATTCCCAAAGGCAATTATAATATTATTTTTCTTAAACTAAGTGATGGGGAAATGGGTGTTCGCTGTACCATTATTCTCCATACCTTATATTTTGTAATATTATTTAAAATAGTCAATATTTCATAAAAACAAGTATTTTTAAAATGAGTTTATGTAATTATCATTGTGGAAGGTATATAGAGTCATAAGTAAATCAAATCCCCACTTCAGAATGTTTTCTTCAGTGGCAGTGTTGCTCCATAAAAAAAGGAAACAATTAAGAGTACTATAATTTGTTCCAGAGCCAACCTTCTACAGAATTAACAAATCTTGAAAAAAACTTATTTTTCTAAACTTCTACATAGACATGCTCAATTTTTTTCCCACCATATACTGCTTCATTCTGCTTTGCTTCTATAAAAAACTATTTTTTGGGTACAATGCACACTAACTGACTGAAGGGCATACTTATAACTTCGACTCAAATTGTACAAAAGCAAATTATGTAACCAAAACGTATGGACCCCTGTAAAATTCTGAAATTAAAAAAAAAAACAACTATTTTTCCCTCGGCTTCTCTGTAACTTTCATCATTTGATGAAAACACTGTAATTCTTTCTTGCTCTCTGAATGAATCTGAAGAAATGAAAATCGGGTTACGCCTCTGAGTGATGTACAACGGTACTACTGATGTCACCCAAAACGATCAGAAAATTAAATATTTGGATAGCAAAAGGCTTTCAGTTTGCCTGTTTTGTTGTTTCCAACTATGTATTACCAGGAGGAACCTCTAAGTCAAATGCCAGGAAAACACCAATAATTCTTTATCATTTCCCCAATTCTCTGTTATCTATTCTGCTTTCCATAAAGTGGTAGAAATATCTTTGATATGCTTTGTTCAGACATGTGTAGTATTTAATTTTGTAAGGACAATCCAAGCTGAGAATTCTAATGATCCTCAAAGCCAGCTATTTTCAATATTTCAAAAAGCCTGAAACATACATTTACCTGTAATCTGGCCATGCTAAGAGTGAAAATATTTTTCCTTTTTCTACTGGGAGTTTACCAGGCCTTCCTAAGTTAACTGGCTATCTCATACTGATCAGATATTCAGACATATGTCATTAATAAAAACAGAAGAATTAATCATGATTACTTAATACGTGTGGTCTGAAAAATCAATCAAAATATGAGGTCCCTGGAGCAAAAATTACAAAAGTGGTCCTTTACTATTGGTATATATATATATATATTTTTTAATTTACTTTTTATTTCAGAACCAGTGATGCTATTATTTAAAAAACAGCAATGACAGAGTTCTAGGCCCACTGACTTGGAGTAGTTCCATCACTGCTGTCAGAAACCCCAGAGAACATTGATTTCCTAACTCAGTTAAACATTTGCAGGTCAACTCTCAATTATTTTTTTTTTTTTTTTTTTTGCCAGTTCAGTTCTCTGTTCCTCCATCTTTGCAAAATGTAGAAGTCATGGGAGGTGTTAAGAGGGAACAAGTGTTTCATATCACATCTTCTTCCTGCTACAAGCTAATAGCACCAGAACTGTTTCTCTCTTCTACTGTTTTCAATTCTCCTTAAAATCAAAATGAGACCCTCCCCCGAACTACTGCCCTTATAAAATTAAATACTCCAGGTGTCTGAACAAAGCCAAACTAAAAGGGACACTTTAAACCAATAACCTTTAAAAACAAACTAAGTCAGCCTTCAAAATAATCCCCTTTGGCCACGTAGGACAGCTCAGGGACAGGTGCAGGGCATGCCTTCCTAGAGGCTGTCTGCTCCTCCGTGAATCTGACCTTTTCCAGCTGGTAGCTCTGGCACCTCACAAATCAGTTGTCAGTAGGCTGAATGCCTGCTTTCCCATCTGCACTTTCCAAATGGCTCGTGACGCCAAGGGCTGAGATACGACCTGGCCCTCTGATGAGAACATGCCTCCCAAGTGACATGCCAAGTTTCCCTGGAAGCATTGCTAAATGTATTCTCTGAGCTCCTCCTCAACCGCCCAGTCATGGTTCATTCTTCCTTCCTTCCTTCCACTTCCTAATGCCACCTCCTCATCCTGTCCCTCCAACACCACGTCCCTTCAGTCCAAACTCCTTACCCGCTTTCATCAACCACTGACCCCTGCCCTGCCTTAAATACCAACTTCAAATCCAAAGGGCATAGTTCCAACATTTTAGAGCTGGTTTGAAGTGATCTTTTTGAGGCCTACCTGCAGGCAGCTCAGTTATGGCTTTTTCCCTTGCCTTCTCCAGCTTCTCCCTTACCCAGGGAAATTCCTGGAGGGAATCTAGGAATGCGTTGAATGCTTTGGGACCCCTGGACGGTAGGATATCCAGCAGCAACATTGTTTTCCGGAGGCCTGTGGCTTGAGCTTGGATTTCTTGAACATGGTTTTCCGTCAAGATTCCTTCCTGGTAAAGGTACTGAAGAACCAGTCCCTCTACCAAAACCTCTGCACCCAGCTCCAGGCGAAGTGAGCGAAGCACTTGTTTGTCTCTGGAGTCCATTTCTCCCTGGAAAGAGACACAATCGCACCTCCGATTACAGGAATGCTGACGTGACCCTAAAGATAGTGTCACTGCAATGTAAGCTCCTTAAGGTCAGGCACATCTTCAAACCTTAGCAGAGTGCCAGGCCACAGTGTTTAATATACGGTTGTTAAGCCAAGCCAAGTTCATCGCGAATGTTTCTGAACGTAATGAACAACACTCAAGATGAATAATCTTTTCTGTTTTTGCTTTTCACACACTGGAGTCCTACCTCAATTCCTTGTTCAATAAAGAGATGTGGGGTTGGAGGAAGAGCAGGTCAGAGATCCTGCTTAACAAGTATTTTTTTAATTTGAGGATTACAGAACAGCATTAATTTTATTATAACATGTTAGAGAAGAAACAGTGGTTTTATTTCAACACTGTCTTCATGAGTGCTACCGCACTACCACCACTGCAGAAACTGCTAACGGGGAGGTTTTGACCACGGACATTTGCAGAACCTGATCAGCAACAGCAATAGGGGGCAGAGACCAGAAGGTACCGAGTTTAAAGATCCTTTTCACTAAGAGAAAATCATCACCTTCAAGAAAAATCTTAAGTGTTTGTACCTAGTCTACAGTAAACCTTATACAATATACAGACACAGACTCCGTTCCTTCCCACCAAGAATTCGGAATCTCCATCACAACACCGCCGTAGCCACACATGCATAGGACATTTAATGGGATTTTTTTTCTCAAAAAAACAAAACAAACAAACAAAGAAAACAAAAAACCCTCACACCCCAGCACAGGTCAGTAGCACGATTTGAAATCTCAGTTCCACGACCGCTGCATCAGTGAGCTGTTGTGTGGTTGTGTGTAGGCAATGAAGGTTAAATGACAGGGAGGAGGGATAAGGGTGGCAGATGGAGCTTCAGACACCCACAGGCAGTACGACTAGGGCTGGGCGACACCCGATCCTCCCCTTGCAGCCCTCTGTAAAGTTCAGGAGGTGGCAGGTGAGGAGGAGGGTGTCCACACTTGGCTATGAGCGCCCATTTGGAACTTTTTAAAAATCCCCTGCCTCGGCAACTGAAACCCGCGTGTATCACAAACAGGAAGAACTACGGGAGATTTCTGGGGCAACTTGAGTGGCTAGAGAGGGGGTGCTGGGAATGATCTTCAGAGCGGACCGAAGGGAGAGCGGGCCGCCGCCTCCACCACCGCCACCCCATCCCCAGCCGGGCTCGGAATGCGGCAAGTTGGGGGGCGGGGAAGCCACACAGGGCCCAGGTTGCAGACTCCACAGAGTGGGACTTCCGAGAAAAGATGGATTCCTGTTACTTACGTCTGCAACCACGTATCTTTGGGAGGGAGGGAAAAACTGCAACCGGAATCCAGACTGTTAGGGAACCTGTACCATAAGCACCATCTTTGTTGAAGGCGAAAGCCCCAGACAGGAAGTACTGTCGCCATCTTTGTTGAGGGCAAGCACAGGAAGTGCTGTAGCCATTTTATTGGGTACCCAAGGGTCAGATCGAAGCCTTTTCCGCCATGTTTGCTGTGGGTAAACAATTCAACCGGGATTATTTTAGCAAAGGAGTAATTGATTTTTGAAAAGAAGACAAATAGCCAACGAACATATGAAGAAATGCTCAACATCACTAATTATCAGAGAAATACAAATTAAAACCACAATAAGGTATCACCTTAACTCCAACTGCTTGTCTGGGCTTTAAAAAATAAAATTAAAACAAATTTAAATAAATAATAAAAAAAAAGATATCACCTTACCCCTGTCAGAATGGCCATTATTAAAAAGTCAAAAAACAATAGATGTTGGCTTGGATGCAGAGAGAAAGGAAGGCTTATGCACTGTTGGGGTTACTGCAAATTAGTACAACCTCTATAGAAAACAGTATGGAGATTCCTCAGAGAAATAAAAGTAGGCTTACAATTAGACTCAGCAATCCCACTACTAGGTATCTACCCAAAGGAAATAAAGTCATTTTATCAAAAAGATACTCACACTCGAATGTTTATTGCAGCACAATTCACAACGGCAAAGACTTTGAATCAGCCTAAGTGTCCATCAGTTTATGAGTGGATTAAGAAAATGTGGTGTATTTATACATCGTGGAGTATTAGTGACAAAAAGCAATGAAATAATGTCTTTTGCAGAAACTTGGATGGAATTGGAGACCATTGTCTTAAGTGAAGTAGCTCAGGAATGGAAAAACAAGCACCACCTGTACTCTCTTATAATTGGAAGCTAGGGCACACATGGACACAAAGAGATGTAAAGGTCATAGGAAATCAAGAAGGGGGAGGAATGGAGGAGGGGCAAAAACCTACCTATCAGGTATTAATATGATGAACACTATTCTGGTGAAGGGCACAATAAGAGCCCCAACTTAAGCATTATAAAAGGTATCCATGTAACAAAAACATTTGTACCTCCTTGATATTTTGAAATTTTAAAAAAGGCACAAATTTTTTAAAAGGGAGTAATTGGATCATTGCATTTTAACACAGTAACTCCACCAGGGCCTTGCACACAACTGACATGATAGGCAGCTCAAAAGTCACCCTAGTAGAGATCAGCCTTCCTTCCCTTCCCTTACTGCTCTTTAAAATGGCAACATGTCTGCACTCATCTCCTACATTTCCCATTCCCTTTACCAGTTTTATTTTTATCAATAGCACACATCACCATCTAACTAAAACTTTTACTGATTCATTTGTTTACTGTCTGTTTCCCTCCACTAAAAGTCATTTCTTTACAGCAAGCCTTCCTGCCTGCAAGGAGTTTACAAGTCAGTCAGTCAGGATTCCATTGCTGCACTCAGTGGGCTACTCCAAACAGAAAGGGATTCGGCAGAGGGAATTGTAGACATTCAAAATCACTGGAAAGACTGGAGAAGGGTTGAAAATCCAAGGATGACTCCCTGGACAACATTGGCTCCTGGCCACAATCAGGAAGATGGAGTCTTTCTAGAAGTCACCATTACACATCACCAGCCTCCTCTTTACACCATCAGATCAATTAACTGGACAGTAGAACACTGCTGCAGAAAAGCCTTAGTCTCCACAGCTGTATTTGCCAACAGCCACAAAATAGCACCTGCAAATCTGACTCTGCAGCATGCAATTGGTGAGACCAATTTTGCAGGCAGAACATTAGCAGCATGATGTCTGGGGCATGTAGTTTGTAGTTGTCCAGCTTCTGAAACACAAAAAGATGCACTAAAAATAAGGAAGGGCTGATACTGAAGATCAATCTACTATATCAACCACATTTTCAATTTGGAAAGCAAGACAAAATGCATGAACCAAATATAGAGACATAGAATGCCAAATTGAATGTCCTTCCTCAAATTCCTTTGTAAAATGAGGCAGCTGACCAGTAAATACATTCATTGATTCATTTTTAAATCAATTGGATGCTATATACAGAAAGTCACATGCCTGCTAAAAACTGGTTGATAGTACAGAAAAAAAATCTCCTCAGTTATTATCAAATATCAAATATCTACAAAGGTTTTCACAACCAGCATCTCTGATGGAAGATGAAAATATCTTTGTAAGCAAATCAGTGGAGAGCAATTCTAAACTTCCTCCTCAAAACTTAACAATTTTATCCAGTTTACAATCTTACCGTGCCACTATACCATTTAATTACACCATTAGTGACAGTGTTTTTACATATGCGGCAAGTATTATTATTACAGTCATGCACTGCATAATGGCATTTCAGTCAACAATGGACTGCATATATGACAGTGGTCAGACCAATAGGCTATACCATATATCCAAGGTGTGTAGTAGGCTATACCATCCAGGTTAGTGTAGGTACACTCTGTTTTGTTCATACTATGATGCATTTCTCAGAATGTACCCCCTTCTTTAAGGAAAGTATGAATGTATTGGCATTTCGCATATGTAAAGACTGTGGAATCAGAGTGACCAATTGTCTTAGCCAAAATCTCATAGCTAATGTAGAGCAAAACCTGAATTCTAACCAGGCTCTTCTGATTTCATGCTCTTTCCAATACACCATGCTATCCTGTCTAGTGAGAGTCTATTGTTCCAATGACAGCTAAATAGTACTGGCAAATCATCCTGATGCCACCTCCCACTCTTCAGTTCCAGGAACTGTCTTTATTCCCTTCCTCTTCCTGTTCTACTCTACAATTTTTGTCCTTTTCTCTGTGAGGTTTCCCTTCTGGGTGTGGACAAGTGTTAGCAACATTCTCTATCTTCATCCAAATAAAGTGCAGACCCCTTGCAACTCCACCAATAGTGGAGGATTATAGGTCGAACATACCTAATTCAAAAATTTCAAATCAGAAATGCTCCAGAATTCGAAATTTTTTGTGGGAAATTCCACACCTGATCTCACATGATGGGCTGCAGTCAAAACACAGTCAAACCTTTGTTTCATGCACAAAATTATTTAAAATATCATAAAAAATCGTTTCAGGCTATGTACATAAGGTGTATACGAAGTATAAATGAATTTCACGTTTAGACTTGGGTCTCATCCCCAAGATATCTCATTATGTATATGCAAATATTCCAAACTCCAAAAAAATCCATAATCTGAAACACTCTGGTCCCAAGCATTTTGGATAAGGGATATTCAATCTATACTAACTTTTTGGAGAGGAAATATAAGTGTATTTTTTCCAATGTAAATTTCGATAATTTTCAAACATATAGAAAAGTTGAAACAAATAGCACAATAAACACCCAGACAAGATTGAACATTTCATGATAAAATTTGAAAAGGCTTGAGATCTCCTGAGAACTGGAAGGTGAGCCTTGCCGATGATGTCCAGGAGGAGGTGGAGAGTCAACAGTAAAATCTGTGAGGGTCACAGAAGAGAAGAAAACAAGGCAAAAGACCCCATGAGGAGAGTTAGTGCAGTCACCAAGGGACGAGACATCCTATGGCAAACAATATGAGGGGCTGGCCATTAAGGATCTGACTTAAATCCATAAGATGAAGCTCTTGCCCATGAAATTCCTCTTCCTGTGGCAAATGTAGATCAGTGTTCATGCTGCCTCCTAAACAAAGAGGCTGGCTCTGATTGACTAGCCAAATGCCATCAACTAGCCTGTTCCAGGACCACCACCCCACCTTAGCATACAGCTTTCTCATCAGCACACCAAAGGTTAATTCCACTTATATAAATATCTAAGGCCAGAGGGTCTTTAAGGAACCAAACACAGATCAGACTCACTCTCACAGGTGGTTACTCCTCTGCTCTGGCCAGTTCCTCTCTGTAGGCTGGAATTGTGCCCCCATAGAGGATTAAGCACCTGTTACCCAGTGGCAACAAATCCAATTTCAAAAAAGACAAATATTTTCCTTTTTCTCTCTCCCCTAGCATGTTTACTTGTATCGAGATATATCCAGTGAGCTTTCAAAAGAAAGAGTCAAAAAGACCAAATGTAGTATTTTTCTGACTTTCAATTGGTCTTTGGTTTTGTAACCTTCAAAAAATAAATCAAAGGAGTTGGGTATTTTTGGTTCTTCCTGTTTCATTGATGTGAAAATTAAGTCATGGGGAAAACAGATTCTTTTCAAGCATACTTGAAACATTTGCAGAAATAGATCATGAATCAAGTCACAAAGAAACTTCAGTAAATTCCAAGGAATCAATAGCATACAAACTCTGTATTTGATCATGATAAAATTGGAAATTTTAAAAAAGGGTAGCTTTCATAAATTCTGTAAGTTTAGAAATAAAACAACTCTTAAACTTTTTTTTTTTTTTTTTTTTTTTTTTTGCCAGTT